AACCGGGACCCCGCGGCTCTGAGCCCCCCAATCCGAGGCACGGGGGTGGAACCGGGAAACGGGACCCGTGGAACCGGGACCCCGCGGCTCTGAGCACCCCCACTCCGAGGCACGGGGGTGGAACCGGGAACCGGGACCGGTGGGACCGGGACCCCGCGGCTCTGAGCCCCCCACTCCGAGGCACGGGGGTGGAACCGGGAACCGTGACCGGTGGAACCGGGACCCCGCGGCTGTGAGCCCCCCACTCCGAGGCACGGGGGTGGAACCGGGAACCGTGACCGGTGGAACCGGGAACCGGGACCGGTGGAACCCCCCGGCTCCGAGGCCCGCGGGACCCCTCAGGCAGCCCCCCAGAGCAGCCCCGGCTCCCGTGGCGGGCGGAACCGGGCTGTCCCCGTGGGAGCGGGCGGGGCCGGGCTGAGTCACGGGCGAGGAATCCCCGCGGGGCGAGGCCGGGCGTGACTCAGCCCGGGGGGTGCGGGCCGAGCGGGGCCGGGCCGAGCGGGGCCGGGCCGGGCGCGGCTCCCGGCGGCTCCCCGGGACCCCGCAGCCCCGGGTCAGCCCCCGGGGGTCTCTCCTCCCCAGGGCCGGGACAGCCGAGCCCCGGGGTTCCCATTTTGGGGGGGGAAACGATTCCGGGAATTCCTCGTGGCCCTTTCCCAGCCCTGGAGGAGATGGGGGGCGCAGGGAAGGTCCCCTCAAAGGGGACCCCCCGTGTTGGATCGCAGGGAATTTGGGGTGGGGGCTCCCCGTGGGGGTGGGGCAGCACCAGCTGGCCAGTCCTGGGGGTACCGGGGTCCCACAAAGCTGGCAGGGGGCAGTGGCGATTTTGGGGGGGCCTGGTGAGCCAGGGGACCGCGCCAGGGCCCCGAGGGGTGCCTGGCACCCCCACCGCCGGCTGGTGGGGTCACACAGCTCGTTAGTGGGATCACAGCTCGTTAATGGGATCACAGCGATTGTTAATGGGATCACAGCAATTGTTAATGGGATCACAGCGATCATTAATGGGATCACAACTCATTAATGGGATCACAGCGATCATTAATGGGATCACAGCAATTGTTAATGGGATCACAGTGATCATTAATGGGATCACAGCTCGTTAATGGGATCACAGCGATTGTTAATGGGATCACAACTCATTAATGGGATCACAGCGATCATTAATGGGATCACAACTCATTAATGGGATCACAGCAATTGTTAATGGGATCACAGCAATTGTTAATGGGATCACNTTAATGGGATCACAGCAATTGTTAATGGGATCACAGCAATTGTTAATGGGATCACACAGATCCTTAATGGGATCACAGTGATCGTTAATGGGATCACACCTTGTTAATGGGATCACAGTGATTGTTAATGGGATCACACACATCATTAACGGGATCACACACATCATTGATGGGATCACAGTGATCGTTATTGGGATCACAGCTCGTTAATGGGATCACAGCTCATTATTGGGATCACAGAGCTTGTTAATAGGATCACAAGCTCATTATTGGGATCACGGAGCTCGTTATTGGGATCACAAGCTGATTAATGGGATCACAAGCTGATTGATTAATGGGATCACACACCTCATTAATGGGATCACAGCTCATTGATGGGATCACAGCTCATTATTGGGATCATGGAGCTCGTTATTAGGATCGCAAGCTGATTAATGGGATCACACACATCATTGATGGGATCACACCTCATTAATGGGATCACACACCTCATTAATGGGATCACACGGCTCGTTAGCCAAAAATGAGGCGCGGGCGAAACCGCGGCAGCGCCCGGGGGCTCGTCGCTGCCCGGGCAGTGCCCCCGTGCTGGGCTATAAATGCCCGCTGGGCACCGGCGCCGCATCCCGCGGAGCCGACCTGCGCCCGGTGAGCCGGTGAGTCCCGCTGCCCTTCCCCGAGCACCCCAAACCCACCCGGTGAGCCGGTGAGTCCCGCTGCCCTTCCCCGAGCACCCCAA